TTTTTTTTTTTTTTTTTTTTAACAGTCTCTCAGTGTCGAGGGGACTGTCAGTACTAGTGGGGCGTGATTCAAGGTCACTGAGGTCGGTTAAAAAAGTAAAATGCGGAAGTCCGAGTTACTAAAGCTTTGGGTTTGAACGGTAACATACTGCAGTGAAAGCTTGGTCGTTGGGTATCGTCTGGAAAAAGGAGGCATGCTAAGTGAGGGTGCCACAGGTGGATAAGCTGTGAATCATGCAGTATCGTTCAGGTCTATGTGGAAGTGGCTTTGCCCGGCAGAGGAGAAGGGAAAGTCCTCATTCAGCCACTTGTCTCAGCTGTGTCTCTTCACATGTTGCCCAGAACCCAGGTTGCCACCCTGTTGAGAAAGGCTGTGTTGAGGAGAGCCGTGTGGCTGCTGGCGTGCAGCTCGCTATGGCCTCCCCTGGATCTGCACATCAGAAATGCTGAGGCTCAGGGAAGCTGCTTGCTTAGGATTTAATTTATATGTAAGGGAAAACTATGGTGCATTTAAAAAGACAAGTAGTTATGAAATTAGCACTGGGTTGGTGGATCCAGCAGGAAATGGGGACAGACGAGGTGCCTCCTGGGGACTGGGTTGTTAGCTGGGTTTGTGTAGGGGTTGCCATAGCAGCTGCCAGCAGCTCCGAGTGCTCAGGCTAGACTGCAGGCTTAAAAACCCGCTTGAGATTAAGGAAGTGCCTCAGTCGCCACTCTGTGCCCAGCGCTTTGCAGTGGGACCTGCAGCTGTCGTGTAAGAAGGAGCTTAACCTGTCCCTCAATGCGTGAGTTCCCACCTGCAGCAGTCTGATCAGAGAGAAATGACAGTTACACAATTAGAAATAAAGTTTGGTTAATGGGTAACTTTAGAGGAGCTTTTACCATTTTGTAAACTGCTTAGATCTTCTAATTTTAAATTAGCAACCAAAAGTAGAGAATTTTTTTCTTTTCCTTGCTAGTCTATCATATTGGTGCTATAGCAGGGGAAAAAAATACTGAAGGTGTGGTTGATGGTTACAATGTTACATTGTCCGGTCATTTTCTGTATTGTTGATTTAGGTTGATTTTTGTGTGGTGGTGGAAATGGAGGATACTGTGGGAGGTGAGACTGAGTTACGGGGAAGAGTTGAGCCTAGTTCCTCTCCTGGTCACTCTGCACAGCAGGAATCAGAACGACTGAGAGCAACACAACTTTCTTCCAAACCCAACATTGATCTCTGTCCACCTCTCATTGCTATAAAAAAAGGTAAGGGAGAAAATAATGATAAATTCTTCACGTTGGCTTTGTATGGAAAAAAGTTCCAGGAACAAAATGAGAAACCGATTATTAAGTAGAGTGTTAAAGTTCATAACAGGTACTTATATATACTGGGTCGGTATGTGCTGTTCTGAATGTGCCAGTGTAGGGACTGCAATGTGCAATTTTCAGCTTTATAAATAAATATGTACATATAAATAACAAATGCTTTTTTTTTACATATATATATGTATTTACAGGGTCATGCACAGTGCAACTCTGATCCCTTAGCAGATTTCCTGGTGTTGAATCATAGTAACACGATTAGAACCATTTCTCTGGAATTAAAATGAGTAGTACTCTATAGTATGGTATATGCTATAGTATGGGATCTCTCTTGTGGAATACATTAACGGTGATAATAGATTGATTAATTAGTTCAAAGATTATTGAACGTGGCCTTGCAGTGACATCAGCCAGCTCCCTCCTAACTCTCTAACCTGATCCCCTTCCACAAGGTCGGGGAATACTTAAGCAAAGTGGGCATAAGTCCATGGGCCCTGATGGGATGCACCTACGAGCACGGAGGGAGCTGGCTGATGTCATTGCAAGGCTGCATTCAATAATCTTTGAATGTTCATGGCAACTGAGAGAGGTTCCTGAGGCCTGGAGGAAAGCTAACGTCACTCCTGTCGCCAGGAAGGATAAGAAGGAGGACCCAGGGAACTACAGGCTAGTCAGCCTCACCTCAGTCCCTGGGAAGGTGATGGAGCAGCTAATCCTGGGTACCATTTCCAGGCACACGAAGGACAAGAAGGTGATTGGGAGTAGCCAGCATGGATTCACCAAAGGAAGAAATGCTTGACCAACCTCATTGCCTTTTGCAATGAAATGATTGGCTTGGTAGGTGAGGGGAGTGCCGTGGATATGGTCTACCTTTTCTTCAGTAAGCCTTTTGACGTTCTCCTGTTGGGGAATTTTTTATTGTGCCCCTTGAGGTGAATTAAACACATATTTGTGCTGAAATACATAAAAACAAAAAATGAACAGTACATTGGACAGTCCTACTGCCATAACCAGTTCTATAAGAAGTCTGCAAAGATGCTTCACAAGCTGATTCCTTATATGCACTTGCACCAGCACCAGTCCTGTGAGCATCAGCGTGGAGCGCCTCAGCCCAGCCTTGGGTCCATCCCCCAGCACCAGCTTTGCTGCCCAAAGGTAGACCCTGAGCCTCACATTCCAGGATGGCTACAAGACAATGCTGTGTCTGTTTCTTATCACCAAGGGAAACTACACTCCCTTACAGGGAGTTGTTCTGTCTCTGGCATTCCCGCTTCCAGCCAGCTTAACCCCTTCTGTAGTTGGGCCTTCTTGTTCTCTATGCCAGATTGCTCCTGGGTCACAAATTACCACTGCTGAACAGTTACAATTTGAATTTCCACTTTACTCCTGTAAGATTCTCATAGAGAAGCTAGAAGCTAATGATGCGTGGGCTGGATGAGCAGACAGTGAGATGGATTGAAAACTGAACAGACAAGCCCAGAGGGTGGTGATCAGTGGCACAAAGTTCAGTTGCAGGCCAGTAGGTAGCGGTGTACCCTAGGGGTCAATACGGGGTCCAGTCCTGTTCAATGTCTTCATTAATGATCTGGATGATGGGGCAGAATGTACCCTTAGCAAGGTTGCTGATGACACATAACTGGCAGAGGTGGCTGATACACTAGGGGGTCATGCTGCCATCCAGAGGGACCTCAGCAGGCTCGGGAGTTGGGCTGACAGGAACCTCAGGCAGTTCAACAAGAGGAAGTGCAAATTCCTGCACCTGGGGAGGAACAACCCCAGGCACCAGTACATTTTGGGGGCTGACCAGCTGGAAAGGAGATTGGCAGGAAAGGACCTGGGGGTCCTAGTGGGCACCAACTTGAACATTAGCTGGCAATGGGCCCTTGTGTCAAAGAAGGCTAATGATACCGTGGGCTGGATGAGGAAGAGTGTTGCCAGCAGGTCAAGGGAGGTGATCCATCCTCTCCACTCAGCACTGGTAAGGCCTCGCTTGGAGTACTGTGTCCAGTTCTAGGCTCCCCAGTACAAGAGAGGCATGGCCATACTGGAGGGAGTCCAGTGAAGGACCACGAAGATGATGAATGCACTGGAGCATCTCTCCTATGAGGAAAGGCTGAGCGAGCTGGGACTGTTCAGGATGGAGAAGAGGAGGACTGGGGGGGATCTCATCAGCATGTATAAATACTTGAAGGGAGGGGGCAAAGAAGAGGGACCCAGGCTCTTTTCAGTGGTGCCCAGTGACAGGACAAGAGGCAATGGGCACAAACTGAAACACAGGAGGTTCCCTCTGAAATCAGGAAACACTTTTTCACTGAGGGTGACCGAGCACTGGCACAGGATGCCCAGAGAGGTTGTGGACTCTCCTTCCTTGGAGATATTCAAAAGCCGTCTGGACATGGTCCTGGGCAACCAGCTCGAAGTGGCCCTGCTTGAGCAGGGGGGAGGTTGGACCAGATGACCTCCAGAGGTCCCTTCCAATCTCAACCATTCTATAATTCTGTGAATAATACATTATAGTCAGGGGAAAAGAGACACACAATCTGTAAGAAAATTTATAAGGAAATCAGTGCTATTAGAATATTAATTTTAGTCACAATCTCATCATTTATTTAGAATAGATTAAACAGTAGTTCCTGAAAGTTTAGTGAGCTGCTCATTAGCACTACTGCATGCTCCACTGAGGATCCTATTTGCTGCCAAGGATGGGACCTAAATATCATCTTCTGAGAAAAAAAAAGGTTGCTTTTTCTTGGACTAAAAGCAAGCTGTAGCACTTACAAATAGCGTTGTTCAGTGCTTTCAAGTAATTATCTTTTTGAAGCTAACTAAAACAGTATTTCTGTTAAGGAGAGATAAACCAATATTTCAGAATGCTTTGTAATTAAAATTTTTAAAAGACAAATGCTGGCTGGCTGGAGATAAGTTATTGTACTTAGTATCAGGAAAACATAAATACTCTTATTTGTTACTTAAATGACTTAAAAATATTCAAATCCTAATTTTTAGTAAAAACAAAGGCATGCAGTAAATTTTTTATTAAATAACTTAAAGGGCTTCAAAAGCTCTTAAGGAAGCTTAAACAATCAACATAAGATAGTTACACACTCTAATGATATATGTCCTGTTTTTATTGCAAATATTACCAGTTGTTATTCTTCAGATATTCCATGTGCTCAAATTGTCTTGCAAGTCCCTGCAAGTAGCAAGTTTGTCAGAAATGCATGAGACTGACAATCAGAATTTAGATAAAGTAACAGAAGAGGAATAACTGGGTGACAATAGCAAGTGTGAAAAGTGACAATATTTCAGAGTCTCTATTTTTTCCAGAATTGATTTCTTCAAGCTAGTACCTTAAATTGCTTTTTCTTACCTCTACTGCTATCAGTAGGAATTGTTTGCAATTGAACTTGAGAAAAAAGCCATTATAAGACATCTTTTCCCCCTAACAGCTTCTAAGGGTTTCTGCTGAGGCACAGGTTTTCTAATGTTCCTTTCATGTCTCATTTTCCCCAGCCTGAGAAGAGGTTAGCCAGCAGATATTAAGACACAACATTGCAGGTCTTGTAAGTGCATTTGTTGTGCATATACCTGAATAATTAGAACTTGTCACTTCTTTTAACTAGGCACAGAAAGTAAGCATCGTAGACGTGGAGGGGACCTGAAGACAGGGAGCACTGAGCTAGGAGCTGCTGTCACAGGATCACCTTTGACTGCTGTTCTTCCGGCAAGTGTTTTCATGCTAAAACAGGTGGTGACTCAGCTACCTTTTGTCTGTTAAATTTTCTTCTGTACAGATAATTCTTGAAGTCTTCATTGACAAAAGTTTGGCCTAATACTGGAGGGTGCTGAGTTCCTTCAGTCTCTGTTAATTACAAGGAAAAAGAACAGTGAACCACTCAAAAGTGTGTGCAGTGTTAGGCCATTTACTTTCTGTGCTCACAATGTGTGTTGCTGGAATTTTGGTTTCTGGGGTTTTTTTTGATCATCCGCTGGTTAATCCCTTGCCAACATGAAAATTAGTATTGGTAAAGAATACTTGAATAAGGTCGTGCTGCATCAGGGAAGGCATATGCAAAACAAAAGATCCAGCTGTTGGCATGGAAGCCAGAGATGATAAAAGACTGACATAGATGAGTTGGGACCTACATGGGAGAAGAATGAACGGTGAATCAAAAAAGACGTGTAGCTTTTAGAGACATCAGAATGGTACTGACCAACAACTACAGGTATTCAGGCATTCTTGGTGTCACCTGGTCTCAAAGAGATGCAGGTAGAGACAGGAGTGATGTAAAACATCCATTTAGAGTCTGGGGTAAGACCAAATGGTAGGAGGCAAAGGTGGACGTTGGCCAGCTTTTTGTTTTTTTAATCCAAAAGTAAATCAGGATTTATCAATTACAGTTCCTAGTTTAGAGTACTGGGAAGATGATGTAATTTATCTTTGTTTCTCTGCAATAAAAATTGTGAGGTACAGAGGCACTCCAGACATCCCCAGACTTCAGATACTCATGTCAGTGGGAGCTGTGTGTAGAAGGAAATGCTCAGTGTGGTGACTTTTTTACCCAAATCTTTAGTTTTCCGTGTAGCTTCTGAAGATTATCTGTTGACTTAAAAATGTTATTCACCATATCTATGTTCACACTGTTATGAAGATTTAAAAAAATCCTTTGTCTACATAAAATTCCTTCTTTATCATTCTGGTAATACCTTTATATGACCCGCGTATTAAACATCAATTGTATATTTGTTCCAGTGGTGACTCATTTTATAGTGGATTTGTTTTATTTATTTCCTTTGAGGTTGTTGACTTAAAAATGTTATTCACCATATCTATGTTCACACTGTTATGAAGATTTAAAAAAATCCTTTGTCTACATAAAATTCCTTCTTTATCATTCTGGTAATACCTTTATATGACCCGCGTATTAAACATCAATTGTATATTTGTTCCAGTGGTGACTCATTTTATAGTGGATTTGTTTTATTTATTTCCCTTGAGGTAATAACTTGATATTATATATTAAAATGCTGGCAGTGTAGAGATAGATCTGGTCCCAAATCTGGAATAGAAGTTTGGAAGCTGGATTCATAAAGCTGAGATTCGAATTAGAGCCTTAATAGTGCTAAATTTGTATTGTAACCTTAGCCTGGATCCACATCTGATTCTGAGGTCCTGATCTGAAGTTTCCAATCTGAAGTGTCCATTGTAGCAGCTTTATACTGAGAAATAATTCTGGCCTAACAAGTTAATTATTACTGATCTTTTCTCTCTGCATTCCTTAGATGTAATTTTTTTATGTTCCTGCTTGAAATAGTTTATGAAACCAGCTTAAAGATCAACAATATAAAATACAATCCTTAAGTGAGGAAAAAGAATCTCTTTATAACAAACTTTTATTTTCTAGACAACTGGTAAGAAAAGTATAGTACTTTCCAGTGAAACTAGGAAAGAACTAGCCAAGCAAGCCAAAGTCACCAAAGAGGAGAGAAGAGCTCAGATAGATGAAAGACAGAAGTATTTGATATCAAGATTAGCAGATGGGATAGGCTTAAGTGAGCAGCAAGTGGAGGAGGCCATTATTTCTGATGACAAGGTAAATAGTAATTAAATTATTATTATTAATTATATTTCCAAAATTTCCAGTCTTTTGAAACTACTTCACAATTAACTACAATTGTAATTTTGTTTTTAGTTTCAACTTATAGAACAATTCTTTGCCCCTAGTGGACTTAAAAAGTTGCTCTTCTTTTACCAAGATGTATTGCAGGTATGTTTCTGTTATTGCTTCTGCAAAAGCAAAGTTGCATTTTTTAAAAAAAAAAATCACATGACTGTTGCAAAATTCAGAAAATCTTGCTATGCGTGCCAATGTGGAAAGAACTTGGATCTCATTGTTTAGATACTGCCATCTTGGCTGTCCTGGTTTCAGCAGGGATAGAGTTAATTTCCTTCCTAGTAGCTGGTACAGTGCTGTGTTTTGGATTTAGGATGAGAACAAAGTTGGTAACGCACTGATGTTTTAGTTGTTGCTAGGTAGTGCTTACACTAGTCAAGGACTTTTTAGTTTCCCATGCTCTACCGACGGGGGGGCTGGCCAGGGGGGGCCGCTGCTCGGGGACTGGTGGGGCATCGGTCAGCGGGTGGTGAGCAATTGCACTGGGCATCACTTGCTTTGTGTAGTAGTGTTATTATTACATTATTATTATTATTTTATTTCAATTATTAAACTGTTTTTATCTCAACCCACGAGTTTTTCTCACTTCTACTCTTCCAATTCTCTCCCCCATCCTACTGGGGGTGGGGGGAGTGAGCGAGCGGCTGGGTGGTGCTCAGTTGCAGACTGAGGTTAAACCACGACACATCTTGGCTTACATGAAAACAGGAGAATGCCCTGTGGCATGGTTTGATACTATTCTTGTTTTCACAAAAGAAAACTTAATAATGGCCAAGTGAAGTAAAAATCCAGACTTTAAAAATGATAAAGATAATTGAGGCAAAGTGTTCACAGTATTCAGAGTTTAAAAATACTAGATTAACTAACATAAGTATTATAGGAATGGGGGAATGGTCTGTGTAAGAACCATTTTGTCTTCTCCTTTTGGTTTGAACTGCACCAACTCCACTATGGACAGAGCACTGATTCAAAAGGGTGAAAAATGATGGAATTTCTTTCTAAATTAAGGTGGCTTCATGTTCAGGTCTGTCCCATTCTGCGGAAAATATTCTTAAGCTTGCAAAACTATAACTAGAAATAAGGTAGTTGTGGTCCCCGAGATATATTTGTCTCCCTTGCAATTTTCTGAAGAAGAAGCCTCTTCATAAAAAGCAAAATCATTTGTTCAGCTTCCACTGAGTGTGTGATATCAGAAGGTGCCAAGCGATCTTGAAATTGCCTAACATGACTGTTGTGGGCTTCCTGAACTGCAGAAGACCTTCCTCAGTCCTTTCAGGTTATGCCATTGAGGAGCCATGTTAGGGTGAGCTAACTCACGATGTGGTGGTAGTTTAGGCCTGTTGGGGAGAAAAAACTGATTAATAATGCTTGATTGTCAGTTAAGTGGAAGAATGAATTACAGATTCTTTATAACCTATGTAAGCTAAAAGAACTTTTGAGCATTACTGGAATTGCCTATAGACTGCAACACACAGAATCGGCTCAGCTGTCAAAACGGTTTAATCAGTCTTTCCTTTCACTGGGACTGCGCGTGCACATTTCTGGGATGAACATGTTCTCTGACTTAAAACAAGATGAAACTAAAAATCTTGAAAGTGTTTTCTTTAACTTGCAAGCCAGAAATAAATGCCCAGCTTGGGTAGAGTGAAACGTTTCATTTCTGCATTTACTTTTGTTTTATTTTGGTCTTTTTATCCATTAAATAAGAATCTATGAAAATCTTGTTACAAAAGCAGCATAGCATAAAAATAAATGTTTCTGATGGGAAGTATGAATGCCATCTCTAGCATCTTCCACCCCATTCTGATGAGTCAAGAGATCTCATTAAATTGACTGTTCTGTCAACAGTTTGATTTCAAACATATTAGAGAATTAGAGATTACTCAGGGGCAGTGTCATACATGCTTGCCCTGTTCTTACCCATTTTTGGCCATTCTTGGAGACAAAATACCATTGGCCTGACCTAGTAGGCATGTTCTTACCAAGATTTGTCAAAGATCCTTTCTTCAGTGCTGCTCATCTCTCTTTTTCACCAGCTTGGGTGCATGATGTTCACTTGAGACTGTGCATAGGGGTTAGAAGACGCTGATTTGGGGTGGAAGTGGGGAGCCACCACAGCGTATCATACATCACACATTTAGTCTAGAAGGAGCTGAACATTTGACTTTTTAGGAAGAGACCTCTCCTCAAACTTGAAAGAGTAATATACCTGCAGGCTTCTTCCACATTATTTTCTGTTAGATTCTTCCAAATTTCAACAGATTATTTTCCAAAGTGCGTGACAGAAAATTAGAGGGAAGCAGGTCTTTATTAGGCTTAAACTTTTTTGTTGCTTCAAATAGAAGAGGCTGTAGATACATCTCAGTGGAGAGGGACCAGTGGCAGCAAGGCTTCTCAGAAAGTTTTTCAGAATGTTGTATGGTTAAAGACATGGGCAGAAAACTAAATTTCTTTGCATTGTTGGCAGGATCTAGCTGACAATGTTCCTTGTGAGTCCCACTCACAATTACATTATGACTTTGCAGACCAGGCACATGACTCTGCGAGACATCTAGTTTGTTTCCATGGAGGAAGTTGCTCTAGGAAACACTTCAGATTTAATTTCATTATATTTTCTGAGATTTTTTGTCCTTTCTTGTTCAAGTGTTCTCTGAAAGAACAGGGCTATGAAACTGTTTACTGGGGATTGAGAGATTCATGCAAAGCTTATTCTCCAGATAAAGCCAACCTCACGATTTCGATCTGGGAATTACTAACTGATTCAGAATGAGCTTAGTTATAATTCACCTATTCAAACAGGATGAGGTATTTGTATGATAATAGCTTTTATTTTATTAACCTCTTATTTATAATTTAATTGCTAGCAAAAGTCGAATGCATCATTGAGGTCAGATGGGTCGACGAACACTTTGCTTCAGAAGAAGTTATTTATTACCGTGGGTTCTACCGAGGTACGGTTGAAAAATTCATTAGATGACATTTGAAAAGTAAAATATTGAAAAAACATAACAGTTGTGCAGTGTTAAACAGCTTTTTGTAATTCTTGGATAGATACTTAAATACTTAGTCCATGTTCTCATAATGCAAGATCTCACAACATTTCATCAGCTGAGGTTTGAATTCACCAGTAAAGAAGTAGTGATTAATTGATTTGACTATCTGAGAGGAGAGTAGGTCAAATAAACCCTTGTTAAAAAATCGCAGATCCTAACAATTTTGTTAATGACTGCATGTTTAAGTATTTTCCAGTGCTTGTGCACTTCTAGTTTAAAAGTGCAGTTCTTCAGTGGTTTTGTATTTCCTTTCATATAATAATACTGCACGTTACTCCATAAATACCTTTAATAATTCCTTTGTTCCATTCAAATTCTTATAACAACCTCCTCACTGTAATGTCTAAGCATTATTCAGCAGTGTATTCAGAGTAGTCATTAAGATTTCTGATTAATTTTCTTTCTTTCCATCTTTTTTTGGGGGAATCGGATGTACCATATACAATTTTCTTTGAAAATGTCTTCATGGTGATGTCTCCCCCCCGCCCCCCCCCGATGAGCTTATATTAACATTGTTTTGTTAGAAAAGACATAGCTGAAGAATTCTTTCTTGCTTTCAGAGGAGAAGTGAAGTTCATTCCTCTGCCAATTGGCCCAATTGGAATGGCTTTTCAAATTTGTTACAGTTGAATTGTTATTAGATTTAGTAGATTAAAAATAAGCATTGTTGCAGTACTGATTTGAAACGTTTACGTTACTTCAATCCATCGAAAAGATGAAAATACATGTTAAAAAGTGTTTGGATCAGAAGGTTTTAGTAATCTTTAAGTTCCCTTTTCAAAAAAATGAAATAAATGTCATTCTAAGATGATCTATTCTGGTCTAGGTATCTATGAAAAGTACTTTAAATGTTGGAAAGCTGAGGATATCTTGAGTTTTTTTCAGTGAATTTATGTTGGCAGATTCAGAAAGGGATTAGACAATCTCATGGATAGATCCATGAATGGATACTAAAATGACTAGACAGGAATATGTCATCTAAC